CAGCACACGTAACATTTGAATTACAAGCTAGTAGTCGGGTATTCAGCTTGTATATCGGACCAAATACACCAGCATAAATAATATTTGAATGACAAGCTAGTAGTTCGGTATTCAGCTTGTAGTTCGGACCAAATACACTAGCATACGTTATATTTGAATTACAAGCTAGCAGTTGGGTATTTAGCTTGTAGTTTAACCCAGATACATCGGCATACTTTATATTTGAATTACAAACTTGTAGTTTGGACCAAATACACCCGCATACACAATATTTGAATTACAAGCTAGTAGTTGGGTATTCAGCTTGCAGTTCGAACCCGATACACCAGCATACGTTATATTTGAATTACAAGTTAGGAGTTGGGTATTCAGCTAGAAGTTCGGACCAAATACACCAGCATACACAATATTTGAAATGGAAGCTAGTAGTTGGGTATTCAGCTTGTAGTTCGGACCAAATACACGAACATACACAACATTTAAATTAGTAGTTGGGTATCCAGTCTGTGTTTCGGACCAGATACACCAGCATAATCAATATTTGAATTACAAGCTAGTAATTGGGTATTTAGCCTGTTGTTCGGACCAGATTCACCAGCACACGTTATTTTTGAATTACAAGCTAGTAGTTGGGTATTCAGCTTTTAATTCAAACCAGATACATCAGCATACGTTATATTTGAATTACAAGCTAGGAGTTTTTACCAGGTACAACCTGTTACGTTATATTTGAATTACAAGCTAGGAGCTGGGTATTCAGCTTGAAGTTCGGACCAAATACACCAGCATACAAAATATTAAAATTTCAAGCAAGTAGTGGGGTATTCAGCTTGTAGAATTACAAGCTATTAGTTGAGTATTCAGCTTGTAGTTCGGACCCAAAACACAACATACGCAATATTTGAATGACAAGCTATTATTTGGGTATTCAGCTTGTAGTTAGAACCAGATACACCAGCATACGTTATATTTGAATTGCATGCCAGTAGTTGGGTATTCGGCTTGTAGTTCGAAACAGATACACCAGCATACATAACATTTGAATTACAAGCTTATAGTTAGGTATTCAGCTTGTAGTTCGGACCAAATACACCAGCATACGCAATATTTGAAATACAAGCTAGTAGTTGAGTGTTCAGCTTGTAGTTCGAACAAGATACACCAGCATACGTTATATTTGAATTTCAAGCAAGGAGTTTAAACCAGGTACAACATCATACGTTATTTTTTAATTACAAGCTAGGAGTTGGGTATTCAGCTTGAAGTTCGGACCAAATACACCAGCATACACAATATTTGAAATACAAGCTTGTAGTTTGGACGAGATACGTCAGCATACGTTTTAATTGAGTAACTTGCTTGTAGTTGGGGTATTCAGCTTGTAGTTCGGACCAAAAACACCAGCATACACACTATTTGAATTACAAGCTAGTAGTTGGGTATTCAGCTTTTTGTTCGTCCCAGTATAAATAAAATTTGAATTACAAGCTTGTAGATGGGTATTTGAATACAGAAAGACAAGGTTTTGATTCAAATATTATATATGCTGATTTATCTTGGCGAAACTACAAGCTGAATACACAACAACAAGCTTGAATAGTGCTTGTTATATTATCTGAGCCGGACAACAATCTGAAATATTGTGATTCTTTTATGTGGGTCGAACTATATGCTGAATACCCATCTACAACCTTGTAATTGAATTATTTTGTATTTTGATGTATCTAGGACTAATAACAAGATGAATACCCGACTACAAGCTTGTAATTCAAATGTAATATATCCTGATGTATCTGGGCTGAACTTAAAGCTGAATTCCAACATTCAGGCTTGTAATTCAAATATTATGTATACGGATGTATCTTGGTCGAACTACAAGCTGAAAACCCAACTACAAGCTTTTAATTGATATATTTTGTATTTAGATGTATCTAGGACTAATTACAAGATGAATACCCAACTACAAGCTTGTAATTCAAAAATGAAATATACTGATGTATCTGGGCCGAACTACAAGCTGAATACCCAAGGCATAGCTTGTAATTCAAATATAATATATCCTGATGTATTTGGGCTGAACTTCAAGCTGAATACCAACCTTCAGGCTTGTAATTCGTATATTATGTATGCTGATTTATTTGGTCCGAACTACAAGCTGAATACCCAAATGCAAGCTTGTAATCAAATATTGTGTATGCTAGTGTATTTGGTCCGAACTACAAGCGGAATACCAAACTACTAACTTGAAATTCAAATATAACGTATGTTGATGTATCTGGGCTGAAATACAAGCTAAATACCCAACTACTAGCTTGTAATTCACATATTGTGTATGCTAGTGTATTTGGTCCGGACTACAAGCGGAATACCCAACTACTAACTTGTAATTCAAATATAACGTATGTTGATGTGTTTGGGCTGAAATACAAGCTAACTACCAAACTACTAGCTTGTAATTCACATCTTGTGTATGCTAATGTATTTGTGTTCCGAACTACAAGAACATGTAATTCAAATAGTGTGTATGCTGGTGTATTTGTTCCGAATTAAAAGCTGAAAACACAACTATTAGCTTATAATTCAAATATGACATATGTTAGTGTATCTGGTCCAAACTACAAGCTGAATTCCCAACTACTAGCTAGTAATTCAAATATTGTGTAGGCTGGGATATTTGGTCCGAACTACAAGCTGAATACCCAACTACTAGCTTGTAATTCAAATATTGTGTATGCTGGTGTATTTGGTCCGAAATACAAACTGAATTACCAAATTCTTGCTTGTAATTCAAATATAATGTTTGCTGGTGAATTTGGTCCGAACTACAAGCTGAATACACAAGTATTATCTTGTAATTCATATATTATGTTTGCCGGTGTATTTGGTCCGAACTACAAGCTGAATACCCAACTACTAGCTTGTAATTCAAATATTGATTATGCTGGTGTATCTGGTCCGAAATACAGACTGAATACCCAACTACTAGCTTGTTATTCAAATATTGTGTATGCTAGTATATTTTGTCCGAACTACAAGCTAAATGCCCAACTACTAGCTTGTGATTGAAATATAACGTATGCTGGTGTATCTGGTTCGAACTACCAGCTGAATACCCAACTTATAGCTTGTAATTCAAATATTGTGTTTGCTCGTGTATTTGGTCCGAACTACAAGCTAAATACCCATCTCCTAGTTTTACTTCAAATATTATGTTTGCTGGAGGTTTTGGTCCGAACTTCAAGCTGATTACCTAACTACTAGCTTGGAATTCAAATATTAATTATGCTGGTGTATCTGGTTCGAACAAAAAACCGAATATCCAACTACTAGCTTGTAATTCAAAAATTGTGTATGCTGTTGTATTTGGTCCGAACTACAAGCTGAATACCCAACTACAAGATTGTAATTAAAATATTATGTATGCTGGTATATTTTGTCCGATCTACAAGCTGAATACCTTACGTCTAGCTTGTTTTTCATATATTGTGTATACTGGTGTATTTGGCCCGAACTACAAGCTAAAAACCCAACTACTAGCTTGTAATTCAAATATAACGTATGCTGGTGTGTGTTGTCCGAACTACATGCTGAATATTCAACTCATAGCTTGTAATACGAGTATTGTGTATGCTGGTGTATTTGGTCCGAACAACAAGCTGAATACCCAACTATTAGCTTGTAATTCAAATATTAATCATGCTGGTGTATCTGTTCCGAACTACAAGCTGAATACCAAACTACTAACTTGTAATTGAAATATTGTGTATGCTGGTGTATCTGGTTCGAACAACAAGCTGAATACCCAACTACTAGCTTGTAATTCAAATATTGTATATGCTGGTGTATCTGATTCGAACAACAAGCTGAATACCCAACTACTAGCTTGTAATTCAAATTTTGTGTATGCTGGTGTATTTAGTCCGAAATACAAGCTGAATACCCAACTTCTAGCTTGTAATTCAAATATTGTGTATGCTAGTGTATTTGGTCCGAACTACAAGCTGAATACCAGACTTTTTGCTTGTAATACAAATACTATGAAGGCTGGTGTGTTTGGTCCGAACTACATGCTGAATATTAACTACTAGCTTGTAATTGGCGAATTACAAGCCGAATTACAATGTACAATGTACAAGCCAACTTCACATACCTGTTGGAAGTAACGTTTCATTTGAATTGACAAAAATGCTCCCATATACGGCATTTTCTTATTAATTACATATCGAAAGACAAAACTCAACATTGCAAATTAATTGAGGAAATTGACGTGGGCTTTTTCGGTGACCAAATGATAATATAAACTAATACAACCTGATCGCACACCTTAATATTTCTCTTAACTTTACATTTTCTTATTTTGGAAAAGATATGCAAATTATCTGTATGATAACATTTTTTTTTTATATTTACTTTTGAGTTAGTACAAATTAATCGGTACTTCGTTACTTCGTATAAACCGTATTGAAAAAAAAAACATAATCTGTCATCTGCATCATTTTATTTCGTTTACGCGCAATTTGAATTTGTGTCAAAAACAATAATTCCATATTAAAATTATCGTATTATCTATTATAAGGTTAAACAAAAAGAACTATAAAAATTCACCATTTATGATATAATTTTTTTTAGATATAGCTGTAAACAATAGAACATTGTTAACACAATCTTGTATCAGGTTCTATTGCGAAATAGAAAAGGTACCTTTTTGAAAAAAAATACAGTTTTGTTATTCTTTAACTAAAAGAACATTAATCTTTATATTTTGTTGAAACGTGCAAACTGTTCTCAAATCTGCACAATCTGACCACGTATGACGATCTATGTTTCAATTTAATCTACATGGTCTACAGTTAAGTTCAATGTTTTTCTTTTTAATTATACATGATACCTCAAATTTAGGTTAGCCTTGCCTTATATTTCGTTTCCGGTGAGGCATAAAATGAACTCTTTAGCTTTAACTGATAATGAATCTATATAAATTGTACATTGTATTGTACAGGTCTGACATCATAATAGCATACAGTTGTGAAAAGTAATGTTTAGTCATGGCTACTGCTCAACCCGGAACATCATCTTCGGCACAGGCATCAGACAATCGTATCTTCCTATTCCGCCTTCAAATGCTAATTATTGATGGTGGACTCGCAGTTTTAAGAAATTATGTAGATCAGGAACTTGTAGCTCAATCCATTACTCTCAGTGGATGTCTTGCAAACGAAAAGACCACTATTAAACTTTTGAAGGGACGTGGGATAATAACACAGGTGCAATATGATTTATTGTATCCATCAAGTGGCACTGTTTCAACGTCAGATTTGGACATCACACTTATCATTTGTCTCATGAGAAACCTAAAATGTTTCAAAGTAAATAAAAAGTTTAATTGGAACATTTCACCAGCACAAAGTGATACTTCTATCGATGCAGACATTTGTAGACTGAAGCAATACAGGAACGAAGTAAGATTTCTTATGTTTTATTTTAATGATAAATGCACCAAGGTAGCAGACAAAAGTGAACATAATATGTTTTATTATTTGTTCAGATAAAAATCACACTCGATCGTTAAGCCGCGGAAATACTCAAAATGTTCTTATATAAGTAATTCTCTCAAGACAATTTGTTTCATAACTCAATGATTTAAAACGAAATTTTTTAAATTGAATTAGTATTGATAGAGATACAAATCAATTGTTTTTTTAGCTGTGAAAGACAGGCATTTACAAAGAACGATTTTATATCTTCAGATTTGTCATATATCGACCACTACAGGGATACAATATAACGATTTTATTACCAAGTGGAAAGAAATCGAACAGGTATATGTTTCATTTTTAATCACAATGAAAGATTTATTCTAAAGTGTATGTTTTTCTTTAACTATACGAGAAGCAATAAGGTTTTGCCTCAAACATAGATGAAAGTCAGTCTGCATTACTGTGCAATCTACAAAGGTTTGACAAATTTATTCGCACAAATCTGCAAGTGAAATGTACTGTAATATTAAATAGCAGGAAACACGTATAACTTAAATAGTATTAATTAAATAGTATTAATGCTAGTATCAAATGTTGAATGACGATATCATAGACACATCAAATTCATATTTTTACTTATTGTTCATTTGTTTTTATCAGGTTTTTGTTTATCTTTAGTATTTTCCATTTGTTGAATACTTCTGTCACAAACAGTATAACAAATAAAATAGTAAAAGTAGGAGATTCATCTACATGAACTGAATTGCCTTACTATTCCTATATCATCAAGTCAGAACTCAAAATACCAATACAAGGATAGTGTACTTTGCTGGAGATAAAAATATTAAAGTGATATTCTGCTCATATTTTCAGTATCAAGTTTTGCTGGATTGACAACATATTTCAAAAGATTGACTGTTAAAGCGGCACGCCTCCAGGTTCATGTGAATTTTCATGAAAATTTTGAAAATGTGTTTAAAAGTATTATTCAGTAAAATAACCAAAGGGAAGCAATTTACACAACCTCAATGGCACTTACAGCCCACGTAAATTACCAAAAAAAAGGACAAAATATGCACAAATAGCCCTTACTGCGTTAGTAACGCAGTAGAATTATAGTTATAAATACTGAAAAATCGGTCATTAATCGCACATAACATGTAAATTATTACTAGAACTTTGAATCTTTACACTTTTCCTAAAATCTTAGCACATTTTTCTCAGGTTTGATTTTATTGAAATATTTTCGCTCATCTGGAGGCGTGCAGCTTTAAAATGGTGATTGACCAACAGTTGATAATTGGAAAGTGTTGATGTAAAACATAAACCTGCTTAAAATATTAAAAGACTGACCATCTCTTTTCATAAAATTGAATATTAAGTACTGATAAATACCCAAGGTCATTTATGCAATTCTCTTGGACCACATGAGTTATTTGTTGTTCATGAGGAGTAAATCATAACATTCAAAGGACTTATGGCATTTGACTTTCAATATAAATGGGCATAATGTCACTTTAGTCGTATGAAATAAGTATGTTTAAGTATATTTCCTTCTTGACAAACGTTTGCAAACAATAACTTACATATTATTTATCATACTGTGCTCTTCTCAGATTCTCCTTAGATTTGATAAAGTGTATCCAATCAGAGACTTTAAACAGACGATTACTGACTTTGAATACAGCCCTCTTGATCCAACAACAGAACAGAGGGTAACAGAGGAAATTGAAAAATGGGGAAAACACGATAAGGCATTAGTAGATGATCTAGAGCTTCTGAAAGCTGGTCATACACTTTTGAAGGAGGCTATTGAAGATATAAAGTCTAAAGGTAAGCATATTTTCTATTTTGTTAATACAAGGAATAGTAATAATTTTGAATATTAATGCCTTGCTTATACAAGTATATTGATTTTTACAAGATGACCTTACAAAATGTAACTGAAAACTTACAGGTAGATTTCAACAAAGTTGTTCAGAAATTGGTAACAACATAGGTGTGAACTAATTATACGTGCTAAATGGACATGTTTTATAATCGTTATTACTGATTACTTTAAACTGTTCAAATAAGAATGTAAACCTTTTGAATAACTTGCAGAATTTAGATTTTATATCATGTCTCTTTTGATGAAAGTAATTTTATGAACTTGCTGCCTTTAAATGTTATACTTATGTTTAAGTCACTCACATATGCCATAATTTTAAATGCTTTGTACATGATTTTAAAAATGTTCATTTAGACTAACATATCTAAATTTAACATGAATGGGCATTTTTTTACAATGAATATCAGATCTTTGTTTATGCTGGCAACACATTGTCTAAAGATTGAGAATATTTGTGATTAAGACTTAATATTCAATTTACACATTTTCAAAATGGTATATATTTGCGACTTAGACGGACCTGATTTTGCGTGCATCATTTGACATTTTAATTCTTTACATAAATTGTATATAAATCTCTTGATATGTGTAATGGGTTTTGGTCTATATTACTGATTCATGCGTGCGACACTGAACGTCTAATTAAGGTTTGTATCATATAATAGTACAATCCCTCTATGCAAATAGAAAATAATAATGTTTCGGACAAAACTGAAAGCCAATGCTCTCCAATTCACCACGAGGGATCCCAAGATATGACCCATTTTTTTTGAACGGGTATATAAATGAAGGCAATTAAGTTTCCCTGTACGAGGAACTTCCATTAAAAAGCTTTCAAACACTTACAATTCAATGACGCATTTAGAAAAAACAGGACTTAAAAGAAGCGTTTTTAAATATCATAACTTTTACTTAAAGATAGAAATTGTATTTAAAATGAACTTTAATCGATGATATATCGCTACATATCAATTAAGTGATGATAATCAATTTTAATTTACATTGCCATATTATATTATATTTTATTATTTATATCACATTATATTAGTGACTTAAAAAATAAGATGTATAACAGCATTTTACAATTTTAATACTAATATTAATTATAATCTTGCGTAACCATATTTGTTTAAGATGATAAAAGGCCGGAAATCAAGATGAAGGGAAACATTTTTGAAAGGTTTTTTGAGAGGAGACGTTATCGACAGATGACAAAAGGTAAGTTTATCAGACAAATCCAACTAATACTACTTTTTGTAATGGGATCACCTCAACTTTTATTTAAAATGACCTCCGACTTAATATTGATTAAAAGTAGTTATAAATGTGAATAAAAACAGAGAGTGTAATCTTTATACAGACTCAATCAAACAAAGTTTGCAATTTGACGCTGTTTGGTTGAGTTAACTACTTATTAGGAACACACTTTATCCAAATTTTTAGTAATATATATTTGACTTCGGAAGGAAGATAAATTCTGTTCCGGTAAAGTTTTTACTGTCAGACAATCATAATTTATTACAAAAACACCAAGTTTTATATATATATATATAGGTTTGTAAAAAATATTTGCATCTACAAAATACCTTTCAAAAACACTGGATCCAAAGAAGGATACAAGAACGTGGAAAAAATAACAATAAAATTGAAGTCAATAAACGTTCATACAGTGCTAAAGTATAAATGACCAAGTACTTTCGGCGTATTATGCCTTCATAAGGGGTGTATTACATGTATAATGTGCACACAATAGAGCACAAAATCTCAAAACGTGTGTACTGTATAGTATCAAAAATTGAACTGGTTCTATATATATATATATATATATATATATTCACACATATCTTCACTTACGGTGCCTATTTATAAGACCGAGTTGAGTGGCATTATTTCATGCAGTCAGTTTTTATATATGCCAATATGTAGACATATAATGACATTTCCAAACAACAGAACTAAGGGGTACTAAGTTATATATATCAACTATATATTTAATTTTACCATTTTACCAATTTGACCAATAACATAAAACCCCATTAAAAATATATACATTTGTGGGACATATATCATTTACTACTAAAACCGGCCTACGGCACTATGTTAGAAGGGTAGCCTACGCCCCCATACATCGTTTTAAACATGCCAGAGTTGCGAGGCCTTATGTATGCCCCACATTAAATATAAACCCCACAAGTATGGTCTCAAATAGACCGACGCCCGTAAATGGAGGAATGTGACTGTATATATATATATATATATATATATATATATATATATATATATATATATATATATATATATATAATTGTATACGGCTTTGGTATCGTCTAGAATTATAATACCCATTTTAATGTTCCTCTGAGGCAATAATCAATTGTGTCCGAGGTCCTTATCCGAGTGTTGGTGGAAGGGGCGACTGTGTTTGACCATTAAAATGGGTAATTGAATATTTGTCAACTTTAAAACACATCATCTATCATTCTTGAATAGTATGCATATGGTATTTCAGTCTAACCTATGCAAGAAACTAACCATTTAAATTATAATTCAATGCTGGGAGTTGATGACTAAGTTGTTTTTTCTCCACTATATTAAGTATAAGTCTACCGGAATTAATTAAATTAAGTAAATTCATAGATATAAAAGTAAACAATGCATTATATATTCAATATATTTATATAAATCTTATAATACATAAATCTATTCCATATATTTATATAAAGAGATAGAACAGACTGTCAACCTGTTGACATAGAGTCAAGTATGTTTATAATTTGAGACTTTTTTGGATGTCGAATATTAACATCCTATTCTGTTTTACATTATCAAAGATTACACTCTGTGTTTTAGATATAAAACCACGTGGTAGAGATACTTTTATAGTCTGATTTTATTAACCTGTTAAATATGAATACATTATGAGGTTTATATAAATAAATGGAATATATAAATAAAATTTTGAGAAGCCACACAAGCTAAATAAGAGTATGTAAGACGTAATCACATCTTGTGAAGTGATTGCCTTATATACAAGTGGTCAGAGGATAACTGTTGTCATTATAGTTTTTTTCCTTTCTTTTTTGAAGTTTTGTTTTAAATAGTAATGACCAAGTGTTTGCAAAAATGTCGAACAAACAAGTAGGTAGTTTTCCCCATTGCGTTAAAAACGCTCAGTATAACTACATATATTTTATAGAAACAAATAAATGTAAACACATGTAATAAGGTACTATGCAGTAGATCTATATATTGTGTGTTTTAGCAGTATAATCACTATGCTATTGATATGTTAATAAAATCAAACAATAGTCCATATTAAGTCTGATAATGATAATAGCCGAGGAATTCCGATTAGGCAAAATTAAATGATGGAGACATCAGGAGGATTTACTTCCTGTTTCGAGTAAAATTTTCCCTTTCTTATTTCCCAACCGTGATAACGATTTGTTTTCATTTTTCTTTAAATTTTAAAACGGTTCAAACATGTTAAACATATATCGCTATTGGTGTTTGTTCATGCAATGAACTATAGAAGAAATGTTTTCTTCTTTAGCTTATCCACATCCTCCTATCCCCACCAATTCTTTGGGTTCAGAATGTTTAAATGTTTATTTTCAAGCATAAAATGTATTAATTATATCGATGGAAATGCTTTTTTTGTAAATGAAATTATGCAATTTGAAAACAAAGTTTAGCTATAATTATGCATTGTTAAACATACCATCTGAATATAGTGTTGCATATCTACTTCTTATTTGCCTTATGCATTATCTGTTTGTCTAACAATGCAAAATTGAAGTTAGTAAACACCTCAGCATTTTATATATTATATAGAAAGATTGTCACTGATTAACACTTTTTTCTACTCTCTTTTCAGAACTTCAAGGCGACCTGATTAAATTCTACAGAAAAAGGTGTAGTTCAATACCTCTGTCACCGCTTCTTGAAGAAATAGAGACACCTTTAGCTGGGTTCTACGTGATGCCTGATATAGTCGCCGTAAAACAGAAATCCCTAACTTGTCATGAAGAGGAAAGAACACCGATCAAGTCTTTGAAAGACCTGTTTTCAACCGGAAGTGGAGATCAACAAGAAATTTATCTATCAGCTGATGCAGGTTTCGGAAAAACTGCTTTCACAAAATATCTTGCAATCACGTGGTGTCAAGCTCATTGCCATGATTCAAACTATGCCTGTTTTAAGGACGGCCAGTTAAAGACGTTATTTGACTTTAAGTTCTTATTTTTGGTTTTATTAAGAGACTGTACCTCTGTTTGTAACATTGACGATATGATTGAACAGCAAATTACCAAGAAACTTCCTTCATCAGCATCACTATATGAAGTTTTACGTAGAGAAAAATGCTTGATTTTATTAGACGGTCTTGATGAATGGACTCATCCTGATAAAAGCTGTAGCGAGGTTACAGAAAAAGTCCCACATCGGTACGTACGTGATAATTGTGTTACCTTAACGACAACCCGACCATGGAAGCTTGGAGTTTCAAATCTCAAAACAAGTCAAATAAACAAAAAAGTAGAATTGGTTCAATTAAGTGCAGATTCTACGTGGCAACTAGAAGAAAATGCCATTAGGAAAATGACCGGTGTCCATATCGATAGAGTACTGAAAAGTAAAACACAGGACTTTAATAAAGTGATACGTGACCGTCGCCTAGAGCACATGCAAGTGATTCCACTGCTCCTCATGTATATAGTTTGCCTATGGTGCAACAACATTCCTATAGGAAATTCAAAACATGAAATTTACACAAATATTATTGAATTTCTATTATCAAGAACGTCAAAGAAACACCCGGAAGTTCAACCATCTCGTGAATCGTCTGCAAGTGCAATTCCAGATTACTTCAAAAGACATGAATTTTGTAAAATGTTTTATAGTCTTATAACATCATTATCAGAACTAGCTTACCAAACATTATTTAACAAAAACAGAGAAAACACGCTGGTATTTGATAGAACGGTTGCTGAAAAATATCTCAAAGCAAACGACATGAAATTAAGCCTTCTCTCAGGAATACTGTCAGAAAGTAGAAGTAAAATCTTAATCAAAGAAATTATCAAAGTTTCGTTTTCTCACAAAACAGTGCAAGAATTTTTCGCCACCATATTTATAAGTTATGAAACTGACACTGAGAAAAATGTTCTAGAAAAATGTAAAAATATTCAAGACATTCTGGACATGTCAAAAATTTGTGAATTTATAAGTGGAATGAATGCTGACCGGATGTGTAAAATATCAAATGATTTGATGTCTGTGATAAATGAAGACGAGAAAACACGTGCTTATAGAACTAGGACAGGTGGCGAGATCTCCCTGTACAATACTCCATTGTATAACATACAGAAAATGTTCATGTCATGTTTACAAGAAATGATTGAAAGTGAAAATATTCAATTATGTTTACAAGATTTCTTCATTGTCGACGAGGACACCGAGCACAGTAAGCAGTTACAACGTTTGTTAAAACAAAATAGAACCAACATAAAGTCACTTTATATAGACATCAACGGGCGTACTTCCAGCAGTTTACGTGAAATTATAGATTTATACTCTCTCACAGATCTCAGTCATATACAGAAACTTTACTATGGTGGTGACAGCATGAAGGAGAAGGCTGAGATAACCCCCCGGATATTGTTTCCCAGTTTACAGTCCGTTACTTTGTCGTCTGGTAAATTGACAAATGATGAAGAAAATCTCAGTGAACATTTGGTGCGATTACAAAACATACAATATTTATATATTAAAGTATTCACGTTATCTCACAAAATACTGGAAACATTTTACAATTTTATCTCCAGTCAAAAGTCAATGAAAGAGTTAACATTGGTGGGGTTACAATGTAAAGAACATGGCTTCCATGGTTGTAAGAGATTGAACTTGGACTTGTCTCAACATTCAACTCTATCAAAGTTAGTCTTGTTCTTGTGGGGGTTACCTGGGAGGCTACAATTAAATATGTCCACACCGTCATTAGTTAATGTTAAGTTGTCGTGCATCAATCTAGATGAAAGTTCATTGTTACTGTCACGTGACATGTTGAATATTGAACGTGTTGAGTTGAGAGAGATAGAAATATCTCCAGAAAGTTTACAGAATTTTATTACCGTCCTGGAAAATCTGCCGCAGTCAGTTACAGTAGAGATGGGCGACATTACACCAAGGACAGAATATAGACGTGTTAGAGAAAATATTTGGAGATCACAAACTTTTCATGTGATACAAGAAGAGGACAGGTGGCATCCATTTGAGTTCAAAACAATAAAACCAAGCAAAGAATAGACAAGGAGAGACATTGTGAATTAAACTAAA